TTACTGCAACAGTCTATGGGTAGATCTGCCTGCCTCCAGTCTCCCCACTCCAATCCATCCTTCGTTTAGCCACCAAAGTGATGTTTCTAAAGCTCAGCTCTAGCCATGTCACACCGCTACTCAATAAACTCTGGTAGCTGCTTACTGCCTCCAGGATAAAATATAAAATCCTCTGTTATTCTGAGTCCTCCATAATCTAGCTCCCTACCTTTTCAGTCTTCTTACACCTTACATATCACCATGCACTCTTCCAGGCTGTTTCACGAACAAGACACTCCATCTCTCAGTTCTGGACATTTTCTCTGACTGTTTTCCATACCTGGACATTCTGCTTCCTCATCTCTACCTACTGACTTCCTTGACTTCAAGTCTCTACTAAAATCCCATCTTCTACAAGAAGTATTTCCCAACCTATTAATTCTAATGTCTTCCTTTTTACTATTGCCTATTTTCTTGTAAATATAAGTTGTTTGTACATTTGTTTGCTTGTCATCTCCTCCATTAGACTGTGAGCTTCCTGAAGGCAGGAACTATCTTTTGCCTCTTTTTGTATCCCTTGCTCGTAACACAGTGTCTGGAACATAGTAGACACTGAATGTCTACTTCCTGACTACTGGAATACCATGTTGGCTGGCTTCCTTGCTACAAGTTTCTCTCCATGCCAGTCTATCCTACACTTAGCTATCAAAGTGATATTCCTAAAGCTCATGTCTGAACATGTCACCCCTTTACTCAATAAACTCCAGTGGCTCCCTACCACCTTCAGAATCAAATATAAAATCTTCTGTTTGGCATTCAAAGCCCTTCAAATCAAACCGTCTTTTACCTTTCCAGTCTTCTTACACCTTATACTCCACCATGTCCTCTGTTCTCCAGTGATACTGGCCTCTTTTTTTCCTTGAACAAGACATTTTCCCTGGCTGTCCCCTACACCTAGAATTCTCTCAGCTCCCTCTACTTCCTGGCTTCCATGGCTTCCTTCAAACCAACTAAAATCCAACCTCTACAGGAAGTCTTTCCTGATCCTCCTCAATTCTAGGGTCTTCTTTCTGTCGATTATTTCCGATTTATCCTGTACATAGCTTGTTTGCACGCTCTCTCCACCATCGGGCTGCGAGCTCCTTGGCAGCAGAGATTGTCTTTACCTTTCTCTGTACTGCCAGCACCTGGCACAGTGCCTGGCACACAGTAGTCACTTAATGAATGTGGACTGACTGACTGACAGGAAGACATGGCCCTTCTCTGTGAGGAGGCAAGCTCCTCAACACGCCCAAGGGCTCCTATGCCATCACGTTCTCTCCAGACTGCTCCTTCCATCACTGCCACTCTCTCACTTATTTTCAGTATTTCTCTTTCTACAAGCTGCTTCTCTACTATCTAAAAACACTCTCATATCTCTCTTATCCTCAAAAAATCCTCATCTGATCCATCTCTGCCTACTGACTATCATCGTGCATCTATCTCTTCTCCCTTTCCTGGCTAGGGTTCTGGAGAAGGCTGTCTACAATGAGGGCCTCCACTTCCTTTCCTCTCACTGTTGTCCTAATTCTCTGTGGCCTGGCTTCCAACCTTATCATTCAACCGAGACTGCTGCTTCGAAGTTACTAACAATCTCTGTTGCCATATCTAAAGGCCTTTTGTCAATCCTTATCCTTCCTGACCTCTCTGCACCCTCTGACACCATCAGTCACTCTCTTCTCTTTAGGTTTTCACAAAATTGATTTTTTATGGTTCTTTTCCTACAAGTCTGACCAATCCTTCTCTGTCTCCTTCATCCAGGCTATACCTGCTAACTGCGGCTGTTCCCCAAGGCTCTGTCCTGGGCTTTCTTCACTTCTCCCTTTATAGTATTTTGCTCGGTGAGCTTATCAGTTCCCATGGATTCAATTGTCATTTTTGTGCAGATCTACTTATTCACCTCTACTTATTATCTACTTATTAACCTCTCTACTGACTTCTAGTCTCACATATTTAACTGCCTACTGGATATCTAGAATTGAAAGTCCGTAAAAATGTTAAACTCAACATTGCCAAAACTGAACTCATTATCTTTTCCCTCAGACCTTCCTCTCTTTCCAACTTCCCTACTATTGTTAAAGGCATCACTATCCTCTCAGTCACCCAAGGTCAAAACCTAGGTTTTATTCTCAATTCTTCACTCTCTCTCATTTCCCTTATCCAATGTGTTACAAAGTCTGTTGATATTACCTTTCCAACATCTTTTGCATTTACCACCTTCTTTCCTCTGACACTTCCACCACCCATAGTGCAAGCCCTCATCACATCACATCTAGACTATTACAGCAGCATTCCAGTCCATCCTCTGTCCAGCTGTCAAATTGACAGTCTTAAACCACAGGTCTGATTAGGTTGTTCTCCTATTTGATAAATTCCAGAAGCTCCCTGTTGCCTCCATGATCAAATATTCTCTATTGAACTTTTAAAGTCCTTCATAACCTGGCCTTTTCCTAGTTTTCTAGGATTTTCATACCTACTGCCCTTTAATTCTCTGTCCCATACCCCACCGTGTACACTTAGATCCAGTCACGTTGGCTTTCTTGCTGTTCCTAGAACAAGACACTCTATTTCCCAATTCTGGGCACTTTTGTTTGTTGTCCTCCATGTCTGGCTCCCTCCTCATCTCCATCTTCTGGTTTCCCTGGCTTCTTTCAAGTCTCAGTTAAAGTCTTATTTTCTCCAAGAAGGTTTTCTCAGTTTTATTTTAGTGCCTTACCTTTGAGATCATCTTCAATTTATTCTTTACACTTCTTGTTTGTACTTAGATGGTGAGTTTGTTTGTTTTTTATTTTTTTACCTTTCTTCGTACCACTAGTGCTTAGCATAGTTTCTGACATATAGTAAGTACTTAATAAGTACCAGTTGAGGTGACTTGACTACCATCACCTGGGGGCAACACTCCCCTCTCAATATAAGCTAACATAAAATTAACTAATACTCATCATTCATACTGAGCTTAAAGTTCACTTAAATCACCTGATTTACTTGTGAAACTGACTTTTTGAATTCAAGGGAAGACAATTATCTCTTATTAAATTAAATTATTAAATGTCATGTTATTAGATTCAACACAATGTTCTATCCTGTCAAGTTCCTTTTAGACCCTAGTTTTGTCAATCTGTGTTAGCTAATACTCTTAGCTTTGTGTTATCTAAAAATGTGATAAGTATGCCACCTATGCCTTTATGCAAGTTACTTATAAGTGTTGCAGGGCTAGGCACAGAACTCTCGGAGACTTCCCTTAGAGATCTCATTCCAAGTTAACAATGAACCAATCATGACTATTTTTGAATCTAGCCATTTGTCCAATTCTAATTCCAATGAACCATACTATTTGTTCAGTTTTTTAAAATTCTAAATTTAGCCAACACCAAAAAAGAACATTTCCATATACAAAGCAGATCAGAAAAAGGAGAATCATATGGAAAAACCACAACTCTCTAGTATGCAAAGTTTGCTCTTTAAAAACTGTATATAACAAATTGACATGTAACTTTCAAAGCTGTCCTGCTTTTGTGAGCTTCCTTCTATTTTCTTTTGTGCATTTACAGAAATATATGAATGGCTATTTTTCTTCTTTTTTTTTTAAGTAACATTATTAGTATCTAACTTTACTAATGTCTAGCAAGGATGCCTTCATATTAGCCACAGATACAGCATGAAGGACTTTGTCAAATATCATTGTTCACTGAAAAAGGCAAAAGCATACAAAGAGTAGCACTATATGTTGCAACACATTGATTACTGAGGGCTGATGACCTTGAAAGAATTTGACGCCAATAATCTAGAACATGAAAAAAAAAATTTTGCTCTGTTGTCAAAAGCATGCCAGACCTGAGATTCTGCTCGTCAGTGAGACTTTGTAGCTAAAGATGTATAAGCAACATAAAAATGCAATTCAAACTGGAAAAAGCAAGTCCAAAAGCAAAATCTTAGTTCAGAAAACCAATAATTCAGTGGAGTGAACTGAACAACACATTCCCAAGATCTGAGCAAAGAAACGATTGGGTGGATAGTGTCACAAGTGGAAATTTTTGCATACTTGCGCCCGAGGTCAAGCTTTAATAGGTAAAGATTAGATGTAGGTAAATGATATACTCAGGTTTAACAAGAACTGTAACTATTTAAACTCTTCCACAAATAAGTGAATGAATACATAAAGTAGTCACATTTTCTCTAAAAGAGGCAGAAATCTTGGCAAAGTCTTGGGAGCTTCCATGTCACTCGCACTTGTCACACAGACTGAGCTATTGACAGGACTGTTAGCAGGCTGGCTTCTCTCTCCATGGTGATGCGGCAGGGAAAAGCAATTCTCAATATTTGTAGAGGTTTATGATTTTTACGTGGGGGAATTTGTCTAAGCTGACATTTACATTATGTTCTAGAAATAAATTCCAAAAAGGTAAAGAGCTAAATTTGTCCAGTTTCAGTGTGGCTTCGACAAATAATGATAATGATGAACAAAAAACTGAAACAAACTAACAACTGCTAAGTCTGATATTAAGGATAAATCTTATCGGATTTTTATAAATAGGACTGCATTTTGTCAATGTTTCCATGTAACATTCATTGTAGATTAAAGATAAAGAAAATTAAATAACTGGCCTTTTGAAAAAATTAACAAGCACACAGGTTTATTTAAGGCTAATTATATGAAGTGAAGTTTTTAAAGCTTTCTGAAGAAAACAGTATGCATTTAGTTCAAAGATAAGCTGGGTTGGCATGTTTTTCTTCTTTTCCTCAGTTTAGAGAGAAACAAATAATAAGATGTATCCATGAAATTTAAAAAAAATGTATTCTGATTACTCCTTCCTTTTTATTGATTTAAGAGATCCATTTTAAATTGATCTATCTGAATTCCCATCATGGCAGAGGGCCTTGTAAGGGTTTAATAAAGGTTTATTAAATTGAATTTAAATTAAGTGAAAGCAATATGTTTAAGCAAATCAGAACCAACTTATTATAATCTCATTCAAACTTACCCTATAGAAAGCACTTGTCAAAGGCAGTAATGCTGCTGCAATGTTATATTCTTCCAAGGCTGAACAGTCCTTAAACAAAGCAAAGAAACAGAAGCATTAGTATGGACATATCTGGCTGAAAGATCAACTCTGAGAAAAGTCAATTGTGACATCCCTCCTCTGCTGCCCTAGTCTTAGGGTGGCTTCTAGGAACTTATTTTGGCACCTGTCCATTCATTACCCATTCTGTCTGTCCATTTCAGCCCAAGGACAAAAGCGTTATTGTTATTATTATTTTTTACTTTGTCTTCCCAGGACTTAGTAAATGCCTTGCGTGTCCACTTCTAGATTCTTAGGAAGTGCTGGCTGACCTGAATTCTAGGTTCCCTAAACTTCTCTCCTGTGGCATAGAGGAGGCAAGTTTAACAGAAGGGAGACAGAAAGGGCCAGCTGAAGGAATCCATGAGAAGTGTACAACAACAAACTTTTGTGACAGGTATGGTCATCCCCCAGTCAGAGCTCTGGGGTGAAGAGGGGCAGGGTCAATGCCACATATGGTCCTAAAAAGTCTCTGCTGGGAATGACACACTGGCCTCAGGTCCATTACTTTTCTAGCTCCTTTAGACTTCTCTCTATGCTCCCAGATCCCGTTCTTGGTGATAAGTAGTACATCTCTCTCCTTCCCTCACTTTGTAAATCTAACAGAGATTTATGAAGTAGCACTGATGGAATAGGTGCTGGGGATAAAAAAATTGAAAATGAAACAGCACTTTCTCTTAAGGAACTAATATTAGTCAATCAACAAGCTTTTATTAAGCGCTTATTATGTGCCAGGCAATGTGCTAAATGCTGGGGATATGAAGAGAGTAAAAATAAGGTCCCTGCCCTCAAGGAGTTCACATTCTTTTTTTTTTTTGGTTAGGCAATGGGGTTAAGTGACTTGCCCAAGTTCACACAGCTAGTGTTATGTATCTGTGCCACCTAGCTGCCCCAGGAGTTCACATTCTAATGGGGGAAATAACATGCAAACAAACTACAGACGAGAGTAAATGGCAAGTGATCACAGCTAGAAGAGACCAGCAGTAAAAGGGACCAGGAAAGCCCTCTCTCAGGAGGTGGGATTTGAGCTGAATCTTGAAAGAAGCCAGAGAGTCCAGGAGGTGGCTGTGAAGAGGGAGAACACTGCAGGCACCAGGGACAGCCCATGAAAAATTGACGAGTTAGGAGATGTAATGTCATGTGCAGGGAGCGTCATGAGGCCAGCATTGCTGCAGCACAGACTCTGTGGAGGGAAGCACAGGCTATTGCAACAGCTTGGGCATGAAGTGACGAGAACCTGAACTGAGGCAGGGGCTGTGTGAGTAGAAATGAGGGACAAATGTGAGAGATTTTGTGAAGGCAAGCGAGAAGACTTGGCATTTGTAGTGAAGACCCAAGGATGACCCTGAGGTTGTGATTCAGGCAACCACAGGAACGATGGGATTGCAGTTCCCTTTTGGTAATTCTGACCCACTAGGTCTTTTCTCTTCACAACCTCAATTCACTTCTTCAATTTATTGCATAGTTCTTTATTATTTTCTTATTTTCCCAGTGTAAGACTTATCTGTCTCCAAAAAGATGCTAAGCACTCCTCAGAGGCAGGTACAATTTTGTATACTTCTGTAATCCTCCAGCAACAAAGGCATTGAGCATTCTTAAGAGCATTCTTAAAGTTGCCTAACAAATCCTTGGAATTGAATTGAACCCCTATTACATTCCAAGTCACAGTTTTCTCACTGCCAGTGCCAAATTACAGTTTAGAAAATTAGGCTGGGAAGTTGTTCACACAAAGTGGATCAATTTAACAGCAAAGGAAAAGCTTAAGTTGTAATAGCATTCCCCCTCCCCTGCAAAAAAAAAAAAACCAACCCAAACCCACCTCAGTTAATAGTAATTGAAGTACATGGAAAAAGCAATTTTATGTGTTGTAGCTAGGATATTCACAATGAGGTTGCAATTCTTTAAACATTTTATGGAAATTTAAAGGTAAATGGAAATAAACCAAACCCATGAATGAAACCATTTTTGTTTAAAGTTTTTATTTAAACTATGTAAATATTTTATTTCATATGAGCTTTTGAGGCGAGCTAGTAATATATGCTAGACTTCTTTTTTCTATCTCAGAGGTTCTCTGAAATGGCTACCCTCTACAGATTCTGGAGTTGGAACAAAAAGCTATCTGAAACCTAAAAGAAGGCGCTACTCCGGTAGGGTAGAATGTGTGCCATTGAGATTGTGCACCTGGGGCTATTCCTTCCCTTTCCCACATTCCTTGCTCCGGGGGAACGATGATGCTTTGGGAGGATGGAGGTAGTTTGCTTTGCCAAGGAATTTATATGGGGGCTTGGCTTGCTGGGGAAAAGCAAAGGCATGGCAGACTGGGTGTACAATTATGGAACAGTAGGAAAAACCTCCCACTGGATTTGAAATCGGAAAACCTGGGTTGAATCTCAGTCATGCAACTTGATATTCATGTGACTTTGGGCAAGTTCTTTAAAATGAAGGGGTCAGACTAGAAGACCTCTGCAGTTTTACATGTTATGATCCTTCAACGTTTGTCTTTTCTAGTATGTGGAGGACTGTAATCTGGAGAAGGGAGTCAATTTATTCTGTGTGGTTTGGGAGGGGAGAGTCAGGGTTAGTGATAAGAGCCTGATTTTAGACCAATATTAAGTGACAATTAAAAGTGTCCAGCGATAGAAGAGGCAGCTTCAATGGGAGTGAGTTCTTTCTTCAGTAGGGATGCTCATGGAGGTTGGATTAATACTTCTTAGGAATATCATAAAAAGGCTTCATAAGATGCATACCAGATAACTCCAGAGAAAATGGATGGCAGATGACATTACTGCACATCAGATGGAACTATTCTCCCTAATGAACCTCTACAGGTTCTCATTCCTTGTCTAAATTCCAATTCCTTTTCCAATTCTTCATTACTTTTCTAAATTTCAAAGTTTTGCTTAGCTCTTCAGAAAGGATAACTAGAAATTCATACTAAATCCCCCAACTTTCCTTTAACACTTCTAGTCTCACCTCTGAAACACTAGTTATCTCAGGTAATAACACATATTTTATGTAGTATTTTTAAGTTTGCAAAGTGTTTTATTTCTCCTTTGATCCCTCTTATTTGATTCTCAAAATAGCCCTTCTAGATAAGGTCTATAGGTTTTATTAAGCAGTGTGGTCTAGTGGAGACAGTGCTTAAGCTAGAATCAGAGGTCCTGGGTTCAAAGGCTGGCTACTTGTTATCACTAAACCATATTATACCAAGGTCATACAATTCATATTAGGCATAGGATTCAAACTGAGGTTTCTCCTGACTCCACACCTAAGGCTCTTTTTAGTACATCACAAGGTCTCCATTTAGTTTACATTAACTCCATTTAGTTTACATTAACTAGTTGGCTAGAACAATGCTATATACTTAGAAGAAAATTTCAACTCATATATGTAATTCATATAATTCATAAAGACACAGACTGCCTTCATACTAGCAAAAGGAAATATATTATTTGCAAATAGTCTGGAGGACATAATGTCTTTTCATGGGCACGGTGGATTATTTGCAAAAGCAAAATTATAATCTCTAGGGTTTTATGTGGAATTTACTTGCCTTTGTATAAAACACTGGATTTTCCAGTTTTTGCAAATAATGCAAAGTTAACGCAAACATGGACACACACATTAAAACAAAACAAAACAAAAAGAAACAGTTCAGCAATTCATCTTGCCAAGTGATTGTGGCTTACAGAAATTAGGGCTCCATGCCCTTATTTTATATAATCTCTTCTAGTATAGTAGGTAAGGTAAGTAAGAGGAGTGTTTTTTATAGAGGTAGAGAAAGGCAACAACGTATCCTGGTATATAGCCCTTCCCCTATGTGGCACATCTCTTACCAGTCTAGATCCTAGTGGTGGCTGTTCTTAGTTTAGCCCAGAGGCTTAAAGGGATCAGAGAAAATGTTTGTCCCTCATTACAGCTAAAAATGTGAATTCTCCCTAGTGAGAGTAAACTTGGAAGAAAGAACTCCAAGAACTCTAGCTTTACTCTGTGAAAGGTTTCAGTGGCTTAATGCCACATGTAAAATAATTTAAATCCCTTACTTTCTTGTTACAAAATTCAACATAACTATGATAGTCTCTTAATGTACACAACATTTAAAAGTTCTCAAAAAGTTCTAAGGAAATATATATTTATACATTTCTTATGGCTGTTTATACAAGAGAAATGAAGTTTATATCAAGCTGATGTTTAACTTGCTCAGATGATGGTTTTGGAGTATTGTGGCTTTTAATCACTATGTAACTAAAAATGTTTTTGATAAAAAAAAATAATTCCACCATCTTTTAGAATGTTCATCCAGAAAAAAGCCAACAAAGTATAAAAATGAGTATAAGCACGAACAGATTTAGGAAGCTGATTATCCATGTTGAAGTTTAGGTACTAAGGTATTCCTTTAAAAGAAGACAAAAAGACATAGCAGCTAAATGGAAGAATGCCCAAAACACTGTCCTTGGAGGAAACAAATAAAGGAGTTGGCACAGTTGAGTTTTATTGTATGTGTACAGGCAAGCAATAGCATTTCCTACAATACTTGGTCACCCTTGTATTGATAATCAGTTGTTCATGATAAACATTTATAAAAAGACCAACCATTAAAATAACTGTAGCTCATGGCCCAATGTCTACTGAAGAGACTGGGGAGGCAAAGAAATTCTTTAAGGCACTGGATAAAACTCTCCAAATTAAATCTATACTTTGATAATCAATGGCTTTGAGCATAGGAGAAAAAAAAGCTACAGATACCCTATAGCTAGATAGATAGACTAGAAAATATGGCATAGAAGTCCAAAGTAAAAGAAGCCAAAGGATTGTGGGTGAAAAAACTTTCTGCTTATATATCATAAATCCTTTCTTCAAGAAAAGAACCTGGAATTACTAGACATGGCAAACATCACATATAACAAAAAATGAAACTGATTATATTTTAATATACAAGGAACAACTTTCTCTATGGGAGTAGTACCCAAATGAGCTGGTTGGTTGTGTGT